TGGTTGATTAGACTTTTTGTTTTATATTCCCCCTGCAATTTTTTCCTCTAATTGAAATTTCTTTAAATACAAATTAACACGAATTCAACACACTGCAGTAAACAGATAAATGGAGGTAGAAGATGTCTTTCAGTCATCAATGCACACATTCAGCAACACACAGGAGCTCATTCAAGCTGGGCACTGGGATGTAAAAGTATAATCAAGATATAATTAGGTTTATCATAGTCTTTTATATCTGTAAATGTAACATATCATTTTCTTCATCCAACAATTTAAATAGTCTCTTAATCACGCTTGTTTAAATGTAACAAGTGTGAATAACCTGGATTGAATGTAAGGTCTACCAGATCTTCACACATGCACACAAGCCCACAGTACCCTTCTGTCCGACCCATATCACCCCCTGTCAGCTGCCTTCACTGTCATGGGGACCAACCCTCACTGTCTGATCAGGTTTCTTCCACCCCCAGTAGCTGCAGCATCCACATGCAGTGTTCTTCTAACGTATAACTTGAATTTAGTAAGATGTTCTTCTTATCTCAGTTTTTAGATTGTTATGAATAGAATGAAGAAAGGGATAATATCAAATATTCTCTTTATCTACCATAATAATGTGCTCTGCACATCTTGTTGATAACTTTAAAATCAATTGTGTTAAATGCAAAAATCACAAACATGAATGACATAATGAGGTAAGTAAAGGTGTAGGGGAGCAAAATGTTAGGTAATGCAGGAAAGAGAAGGACTGGAAACCTGTCCAGGGGGTACCCTCCACCTTCCCAGTTACTGTTGGAGACAGACAACCACCTCAACCTTGACTTTCCAAGGATAAGTGAGTGTAGACGATGGATTGATAGATGGGTGGAGGGCAACCCTAAGACTACACAGACATACACACGTCTAGCTTTTCACAATAATTAACAGTATTATTTTACAGTAACTTTTAATGTAGTTCCCCTATGATATCCTGATGAATAGCTGTAAAAACTTCAGATCTAACAGCAACTGAATCTTATTCTATGATAAAATCCCACCATTAAAAAGTTCCTTTTATTTTAAAACAGGTCTGTAATATCACTGCAGCACAGTAAAAATGCAAGGCTTTCATTGGATTCAAACGTGTCATTACAGTGAAGTGCTCTATATAAATACACAATGGATCTTGACACTTCTTGAATGGAGGGCACAGTTTCCCTCTTCAAGGCTGAAAGGAGAAGGTAGTTCAAAGGTTATTTATTTTGGTGTTATTTAGGTTTCTTTTTTAATACTTCTTTTTTTCATTTTCATGTATGTTAAAAAAGAACACAATTGAAGGCCAGGTCAAATAAGCTCTGCGTGAAGTGTTGAGGGACCAGGACATACAATGACAAGTAGGTTACTGGAACAAAAAGACAATGAACACGGGAATATAATAAGACACTATTGGAATGCTGCTACTCCAGTAACCCTGACCAAAGTGGTTATACAAAAAGACCATGGGCAGTATGGAAGCTTCAGTACTCACATTCTGAACTAACAGCTAAACACTGAGTACTTCAGTGTTCAAACATTCACAAACAACAGCAGATTTAACAGTTAGAGTGCTGGAAGATCCAACAAATGCAAGCAGTGGCAAATAAAGTTATAAGGTCAGATGAGGGCACCACCATCAACTCCCATGATATTCGATACCAAGCACTGATGATTCAAGAACAACTGACTGGGAGGATTACTGACCTAAGAAATAAAATCATTGCTCAGATGAGAACCTGCAAACCCAGTCTAGCTAAGTTAAGTAAGGTGTTACCACATGATCTCCTGGTTGATGTGAATACAGCACTAAGTTCCATACACTCTGCGACCATCACAGAAATAAATGAGCTGATATACAGTACAGGATTAGTGATCATTACGTTGCTTGGCCAAGACAAAGTCTAAATAAGAGGACAATGTCCACCATGCCAGAGAAGGTTAGAAGCCAAAATCAAGGCAAAGCGGAAAGAAGTGAGCCAACTTTCAGAACTCCAGAGAGGATTGTCTGGCAAAGGAAAGTTGCAGAAATACAAACAGATGTCCATCCCATAGGCCCTGGAAACTGCCAAAAAAAATACACCAAGCCTTGGCTGCCCGACTGAAGAGGTACACCAAAGAGACGGAAGCCAGGTGAATAAACTGTCTGCTCTCTACTGAACCACCTAAGGTGTACTCCCAGTGGTAGGTTAATAACACGTGAGCCAACCCGCCAAGGCTGGACACTGAACAATACTGGCAATGTATCTAGAGGGAAGAAGCATTACATTACAATGATACACAATGGCTAAAAGACCAAAAAGCTGATCACGCAAACCTCCCTGAACAAGGTCCTTTGAACATCACAATGGCAGACCTCAAGCAAAGACTCTCAGGTATGAACTGGGCAGCACCAGGCCCAGACGTGATCCACTCCTACTGGCTGAAGAACTTAGACTTAGACTTTAGAATTAGACAAAGAAACTGACTTTGCTTCATGAACTCCTAGCAGCAAAAATGTCCTGGCTGTTGTAGAGCAGGACCCACCCTGAATGGCTGACCAAGGACCGAACAGTCCTCATAATGAAAATCCGCAGAAGGGCAAAATCCCAACCATCTATCAGCCAATAACCTGTCTCTCCACAACAAGGAACCTCCTGTCGGACATCATAGCGGCAAGGATAAGCGGGGACATGGATCAATACATGTCAGAGACACAAAAAGGCAGTGGTAAAAACATCAGAGGAGCCAAACACCAACCACCAACACTACCAACAAACTACTACAAGCCACCAGGATCTACAGCAGGGATATTTGAATGTCTTTCTGGCTGGTGAAGGGTGGTTGGATGGTGTTTTTATGACGGGGACTTTAATCTGTTTACATAGTCATCCCAAAAACCTGGTCCCTGTATGGTAATGTTATTTTCTTTGAGCCGGGGTTAGGTTTAGGACTAAGGTGTGAACTCAGTTTAGGTTAGGGTTAAGTATATGTTGATAATAATTAGTGTTAGGGTAAGGGTCTGGCTTAGGCCATATAAAATAAATGCAAGTCAATGAAATGTCCACATATGTCACAAAAACAGGAAGTGTAGAAGTGTGTGTGTGTGTGCGTGTGTGTGTGTGTAGATCAGAGTGAGGACCATTTTTCCAATTCCACCATCACAGTGAGGACCAGTTGTTTTAAAGTGGACATTTTGCTGGTCCTCACAAGGTATTTTGCTAATGGTTAGGTTTAGGGCTAATGTGTTAATTGGGTTAGGGTGAGGTATGAATTGCTAGGTTTAGGGTTAGTTTTAGGGTTAGGGCATAGAAAGGGTTGAAAATGACTGAAAATCAATGTAAGTCAATGAGTCAACATATGGTCCTCACTACATATAGTAGAACAAACAGGTGTGTGTGTGTGTGTGTATGTGCATGAATAGTTGTATTTCTCTGTGATGCACTGCTATGTTCAGGGTGTATCCGCCCTTTTGCCAATAAAATGCTAGAGATTGGTACCAACCCCACAATGACCCTGATGGATGAAGCAGGACATATATATCACAGAAAGCAAATGAGGGTATACTGCTGTATGTTTCAAGAATATTGCTGTAATCGATAGAGCGAAGGCCATGCAAAGCTTATCCAATTATTTATTGTAAATTTACAATGAAACTTTTGCAGTGTAGTTTTACAGACTTATGGACTTATTTACTTTCATTCGTTTTAGACCCTTTCTATGGCCTGAACCTCAAACTAATTCACATTTTGTAGCTCTAAACTAACCCCTAGATTCGACAAAAAAGTTGGCACCAAAAAAAAGGTAATTATTTTGCATTTAAACTCACAGGCAAAATACAAATAAAACGTTCTGAATAAGCAAGTACACACACAAACACAAGCATGTACAAGGTATCAAAAACATGATCATGAATGCAAAGCCTCACACGGTGAAGGCACACCCAAGGAATCAAAGATGGATATTTTATATACGTGGAAAGAAATAGGAATACCCAGAGAGAAGATAGAAATTCCAAGTGTAAATTCTCCTGGCTTGGGTTTGTACCAAAGACCTTTTTTAAAAACACAATCATGTCATCATCCAGCAAATTGTTTCAAAACACATAACATTATCAATCACAAGGGCCTTTTTAAATATTGTTTTTCAACGTGTCTTGCCATCCATCTTCTCCTGCTTATTAGTCAGGGTCACAGTAATCTATGGGGGAAAGGCAGGATACACAGGGCAACAGAGATACATACAAGCACACACACACCTACAATTTAGAGATACCAATTAAACTAATAGTCATGTTTTGGACTGTGGGAACCCAGAGTACCCAGGGGGCACTCACAAATGCACGGGGAGAACATGCAAACTTTATGCAGGAAGCCCCTGGGCTTGGGAGAATCAAAGGAGCTTGTTGCTGCAAGGCAACAGTGCTAAAAACTGTGCTATTGTGCAGCCCTCATGTCTTGCCATAAACAATAAAAAATATATATTAACGAATATATATTAACGTTAGGTAAGATTGATTAACCTTACCTTAGCTTCTCAATGATTGGGTCATAAAATGTGGCCTTAACCCATGGGATATGCTTGTGCTTATTTACTGCAGTGAGCTGACAGGGGTTAGGATACATCCTGGACAGAGTTGAAGTCCATAACAAAGCAATATAATGCACACACACACAGGGCAGACAAACATGCATAAACAAATGCATACATACAGGTCATTTAAAGTTATGTTTTTGGAGTCCAGAGTACCTGGAGCGATTCATTATTCTTGGGGATAACTTGCAGACTCCATCTAGAAAATTTCTTTCTGAAAGGCAAATAGCTGCATCGATATGAACAAAGTAGTTTAAAATGATCACTACATGGTTGTGGGTGCGGTAGGAGATTATTCAATGACTTCTTTCTGTTTGTATGGCATTCTTAATTCTAAAGTTGGTCATGCTTTTTTGACTCACTTGATAAAGGTATGTGGAAATATTTGACACAACTCATAAAATATGACAGCAGAATAATTGCACACCAACATATTTATTATGCACTAAGGAACACCAGTTTTAACAGTCAGATTCAATGTATAAGTAACTACAATTTGCAGCTATTTACTTGCTGCTAAATCTGAATAAAAAGATCTGTGCTGCCACCTTGTGGGCTTTTCTCAACATAACAGGTCAGTTTAGCATTTCAATTCAATGTGTTTAACCAAAACCAACTAAAATTCAAAGTTATGAGCAGCAACAAACATTACTACAGACATCTTACTAATCAAGTGTAAGGCTTTACGGTTTTCTTGTCTTCTTGGTTTTTCTTGTCTTCTTTGCCTTGCTTGTCTTCTTCACCTTTTCTGGGAGGTCTTGTAAGTGCTGCACGGTCTCCACCATAATAGCAGCTTTGGTCTTCATTTCCTCCTTCTTCTCTTCTTCCAGACGCCTTATCTCCATGATGTCATTGTACTGCTTCTCTAGGACAGGAAATGATTTCTCCAGCTCCATCATCTCCCCCTGTTCTTTGTCATAAACCTGTTGACTCAGCTCCAACTTGGCCTGAGAAAAATGTAAAAAAGACATGAAAAGATGAAAAAACAAGGTGTGTTTTTGAAAGGGCTCTTAGAAAAAGCCTGTTTGGGATATAAGAACAGCGATTAAAATAATCACTATCAGCCAAAACTTAACACAAAAGTTTACCCTCTACTGAGGGATATGTCTGAAGATGAATGAATGGTTTAAAATGTCAACATAATAACATTTAGAGATAAGTAGAGGTTTGCAGCAGGACATTTGTTGTGGTTTTTACCTGGAAACTAGTCATATCCTTGTCAAACTGTTTCAGAAGGTCCTTAATTTCTCTTCTCATCGATTCATTTTTCTGTCACAAAAACAAAAAAAGCAGTAGCAACAGCAGTCCAAAAACTGGAGTCTATATATACCCCTTTTTACTATTACAAATGTTTTAAAAGCTAAGTTTAATAGAATATTTTGTGACACACCAACATTGGGTTATTGTGAAGTAGATGGAAAAAGATAGTGTTCAATATCACTTATTTATTTATTTTTTTACAAGTAAACATGTAAAACAAGAGCGCTCGGCAAACCCCCAGTTTTTAGGGTGAAAGCTTTACAAATGCAAAGACAGAAAAAAAGCAGTCTAGATCTAGTTGGATATGAGAATAAGCTTTTTTTCAAATCCTGCTAAAGATTCTAGTTTAAAATTGGGGTTTGACTACTTCAGAGTTATGCACTCTTATGTTGGTTTTCCCCCCAAAAAAATCACAAAAATGCATGACTCTCTGTTGGTGTAACATTAAAAATTCATGTCATAGGTTGCAGAGTAGTATAAGTCCTGAAACTTTCTCAGCGAACTCACCTCATGCAGACTCATCTGTTTCTTCCAATTTTCTTGCCTCAAGGTGCTGAGCTGAAGATCCAGTTCAGCCGTTTTGAATTCGTTTTCCTGTTTTCGTGTTTCCTGTTTTCGTCTTTCCTGTTTTCGTCTTTCCTGTTCAGCGAGTATTTCATCCTTAGCCACTGAAATGTTCTCCTCTTGCTTTAACTTAATGTCCAGCTGTCGGAGCTGCAAGAAAGGCAAAAAGACAGAACAGGTGAAAGTATGTTTAATGTGTCAAACTAAACTGTTAAAGAGAAGTTGCTTACAAATTTCATGTTAAAAGCTCACCTTTTCAGTTAGTTCTTTCAATGTTGCAGCTTCTTCTGCTTCCGCTGAAATCAATTTGTCCAGAACTAAATCAGCCCTTGGATCCGGTTCTCTGTCAGAACGCGAATATTCTACCCAATATTTGTGATACAACTGAAGCATCCTGATGATCTTCTGCTCGTATTCACCTGCTTCCATAGTAATCTGTTTTTTTAAGCCTAAAAAAACATCCGGATGTAGCTGGAAAAACATAACGACATCCTTGCCTGATTTTACTATGCTCCCTCTAAGCTGAAGCAACTCGCTCCTCTTTGCTTCATCTGTCTCCTGCTGCTGAGATTCAAGCTTTTCCAGTCTTTCCACTGATTCCTGATGCATTTGAAGGAGCTTTCTCAACTCTTCGTCAACAACAGCAGACGAAGCACAAAACTGGAGGATGCTGGGTAGAGCTGCTACAATCTCCATTTCGCTGGCGCAAGTTTTCAAAATACTTGAAATCATCAGAGTTTCAGAAGAGAGCCTCCTTTTTGCGATCATGGCAGAGTCGGCCTGTAATAAAAATATTGCCATTATTAATACATTTCAACCTTGTTATTATGGTTACTATCTTGTGAGTTGGGATCTGCTTTAAACTGAGAATATAAGTCATTAGGCTATACTGCCAACCCATCTGGTTTTTCAATGGGAAATCATTTCAACATCTATTATTGGACTAAAGTGGGACAAAACCAGACCAACCCAACACAGCCCAATTTTTAGCCATTTCAGGACTAAATCAAGATTATGGCGGACCAACCAAATTTAGCCTAAAAAGCAATGTCTAAATGACGTCTGGTGTTTGGGGGGGTATTATGATGCATCATCAATATAAGTTTCTTATTGGCACGCAGGGTGAAGAATTTTATTTGGCTAATTTTCTATGCTGTTTATCATGTAGTAACGGATGTAGAAGGATTTTGTACAAAGGATGGTGTAGAAATGCTCATTTGTTTCTAGGTTTTATCATTCTGTCAAAACAGTCACACATGTGAGGGTTACATTAACAAATGTTGATCTAGATTTTTCTCATTTGACTAAAAAGTTTGCTTCTGATAATAGTATCAAATTTATTAAATAATTGCCTGTTTTAGTACACATTTCTATTAAAAAGAAGAATTTTTAAAAATAATTTATGACATTTTCATTAAGCAATAGGAACACATTAAATTACATGAAATTAACCCACTGATTCCACAAGGGTTAGCCATTCCTATTACTTCCAATGGGAGGAATTATGTTTATAATATTAAAATCTTAATTCCAACACAGGTTATCTGAGATTTCAATACAATAAAAACATACTCATATACCTTTCTTTCTTTCTTTCTTTCTTTCTTTCTTTCTTTCTTTCTTTCTGATAAAAGCAAAATAACAGACCTACCATTACAGTCGCTCCCGATGGGTAATGTTTATTGTTGCTATGACAACACATAGCAAAAACGGTTTCTAGCCTCGGGTACAAAAAGAAAGACCACGGGACTGTCCGATACTCTCTTTTTATTTTCAGACTACCCAGTATTTAGAGTTTTAACTCGTTTAGTCTGGTTTATAAATGTATAGAATTTATAATTTTATCAAGAAATAAGCAAATAGAAAGAAAGAAAGAAAGAAAGAAAGATGTTTTAAAAAAAAAATTTAATGTTCTAGAGACTTAAACTTAAACAACATTACTGTCATTTTGTATACACAGAGTGTAAACATAAAGTGCAGCAGTGATAAAATATAAACAACTTCTATGCTTCATAATCTTTATTTTAAAGAAACGTTGTTTGTATGTGTGTGTACTTGTTTATGCTACCTATTTAGTATGGTTGTTTGTATATTTACTAACCCCCCAGAGGACCAACAGGCTTTCTGGCTTTCAATAAGTGGTCTGTTATGTGGAAGATTTTTCTCACAATATACATTATTTTCTACATTCTGGCGATTTTTTAGAGAATTCAAGTAAAGCAGGATGGATCCTACTAAAATACTTGCATCTAAAATATACTTTAAACTAAGAATTTCACAACTTTGTTCATTAATTATTCCATGCAGTTCAAATAAATTAAACAATAGGGAACTAATAAGCTATTACTGGATTACTGGCATTGATACAGGAACCAGTGCAATCGAAATCTATGCAAATTACACTGTGTATGAATATTTGGTAATAGGCTAAGGATTCAAAATCTTAATTCATTTTGTTATTAGTTTTTCTTACAATTGACAAAATGGCTAAACAATTCAGAACTTCTAGGAGACTGTACATTTTATAAAAACTCACCATGACAGGAGACAGCTCTTCTCTGTATGTTTCAGATTTGGAAGATGTGATGGAAATTAAGTTTTTAAACATATTCAACTGACCAAAATAAAGATATATGAATATGATAAGTACTAATAAAAGAAGAACATCCCAGTGGTTGCTCCTCTATTAATCCAGGATAACTGAGCTGTTCTGCAAATCCTCTCTGGATGTGGTTGGTCTTTTCTTGGGTGGCTGATCTTTTGAAAAATAAAATGCACTGATTATTTTTCTTTTTGTGGAGCTCCTATGGGTTTGTGAAGCAACCCTGAAAGTGTTAAGAATTAAAATATTTGTGTTGGTTTAATAACTCCTAAATTCCAACGGAAGATTATTAAACTAGACTGAGTTTGGTTCTCACTCCCAATGGGTAAGAGTTGACGGCCCTGAAATCTTCGACTTTTATTTTGAAAATCCTCTGCCGTAAATTCCTTTAGTGTCGGGAAGCTCTGTTGTTGATGTAGCTGGTCCTTTCACTGAGTTGACGCCTGTGTTGTTGTAGAGGAAACGCTTTAAAGATGGACTCCATGGATTAGCTCGGGTGTCCAGGTTTTCCTTCCTGATGATAGGTGGGGCAGGCAGCTGTTGTTATGAAGCTGGTATCTTGTAAAGGATGCAGAGATGGGAACATTCAGACAGTCGCAGATCGTTAGCCTGAGGGGCAGAGGACCAGTAAATCGGTGACATCTGTTTAAATCCGCTAACAACCCGTCCCTAGTCTCTGTCGCAGAACATAGACAGCGCTAACTTTGCAGCTGACTGGAGATATTTGCGCCAAAAGCCTCTGGAGGTCGCAGCATAGAGAATACAGATAACTGCGTTAGCAAACAAACTACCATTAATCCTAAAAGATGTACGGTTCTACTGCTGTTTGCGAAATACACAGTGTGCGTATTTAGTCAGTTTTGGTCCTAGCAGGGACTCTCTAAGCGAGGTTGAACGTATTTATTGTGAGGATGGAGTCTGACGACGACGTGCCTCTGATCCTGACCTGGGATGAAGCAAACAGCGGTCTGCTGAACGAAGAGGAGACTGAGAGAGAAGACAGAAGTAAGTCCAAACTTAAGCGTTATGGTGTCTCTGCTCGGTTTGACAGGCTCTTCCTGTCTGAAAATGGACAAAACCTTAAAGTAATGCAGTTAGGATAAAGCTCGGTATTTCAGCTAAAGATGCAAAAGCGTCAAACAAGTTTAATTTGTTATACTGCTATAGAAACCTTCCAGTAATTACATTAAGATCACCAATTGGTATGAATGCTTTTTGCAACAGTACAAGACTAAACTTTTCATTTTAAACAGACAGGGTTCCTACAGCATAAGGCAAGTTAAATTCAAAACTTTTCAATGCCACTTAAATAAAAATTTAAGACCAACTTTACAGTAAACACAAGAAAAACCTGGTAGTGAGAAATTTACCCCAAATGTTTATTTTACCCCAAAACTTTGTTTTAGGCTGCTCAGTGGAAGATGTTAGCCCTGCTGCCTTGCAGCAAGAAGGTTCTGGGTTCGATTCCCGGCCCAGGGAGTTTCTCCATGGAGTTTGCATGTTGTCCCTGAGCATATGTGGGTTCTCTCCGGGTACTCTGACTTCCTCCCACAGTCCAAAAACATGACTGTTAGGTTAATTGGGTTCTCTAGATTCTCCTTAGGTGCGTGAATGGTTGTTTGTCTCTGTGTTGCCCTGCGATGGACTGGCGACTTGTCCAGGGAGACCCCGCCTCTCCACTGTAGACAGCTGAAGATAGGCACCAGCACCCCCCTCGACCCCAATGGGGACAAGCGTATCAGATAATGGATGGATGAATGTTTATTTTAACATAAACCACTACTTTCTGGCCCAGAAGATGTTTCAAATATTGAAAAACTTTCCATATAGAAAGAAAGCTTAAAAACACACAAATAACAGATATTTTGTAACTAGTGTTGCGCCAATGCCATTTTTTGATACCGATACCCGATACCTGGCTGTGCAATATCGGCTGATACCGATACCATCTGTTTGAAATTTATGTTTGTGTGTATATATGAAGAACTGCATACTACTTGGATGTGAAATAATTGCCATCATGGCTTTGTCAAGCTGCTGCCTTCCTTTGTGAAGCAGGAAAAATACTAAAACAAAGTGAATCCAGTATAACTTTTTATTGCCTACTTTGAATGGGTGACAATAGTTGAATAAACTTTTGGCTCTCTAAATGGTATCGATGCCCTATTTGTTGGTACTCGCTGATACTGATACCGCCATTTTAGTGCTGGATCGGGGCCCCGCCCGAAACTGGTATTGGTGCAACACTATTTGTAAAAACTACAGAACTGAATTTATCCCCTCCACTTTCATTGTCAGCGTACCGCCAAACATTATCCTGAGATTTGGTTTTCCTGGCGCTGTTTTTGATGGGAGAGATGCTGTGGAGGCGTTGCAGAGACAAGGGTGGAAGAGAATGCTGCTTCTCCATAACTTCAATTTGACTCTTTGAGTTTCACGCTTCGAACATGTGACTCCACTGCGTTGATTCCCATCGTGCTTCATCTACTTTCCCTGGCAGCGGTTTTAGTCATGCAGAAAACTTTTGGATGGATAGATTATTTTTCATTGAATTTAAACTTCCCCATGTTGTCCAGATAAAAGTTAGTGGCACATCACACCAAGGTCTGGCCATAACATCATCTTTAGGACAATTAATGAGCAAAACATCCATATTTTCTAAATCAAGACTAACTATATTTTCCTACAGCCTTTCCATAATTTCTAGATAAAAGGTATAGTGGATAAAACTCTTTCAGTTTTGAGTTCTGGGGCGTAAATCTTTTCCATCGTCATTACTTACCTACTTGTATCAATAAACGTTCTGCGTAAAATTGATATTTACAAGCACTAATATCGACATAAATTGATTATTTTATAAGTTTTTATTCAAATTGTTTTTTATCTATAATTTCACTGAAGACTTCTAGATGACTTGCAGAGACAAATAATTTTCTCTTTACCACATAAAACACAACATCTAGTTCTGAAAAGAGCATGAATTCTGTATTGATAATCTTTGATGTTACTATATTTATGTGTATAATTAACCACAAAAAAATGTCATGTTTTGAATATTCCACTTGAGAGTATTACTGTTGCCACCATCTGTATTAGAGGGGAAAAAATGGTAGGGGTGGCCACAGGGGTGGCTAATGATTGGCTAAGGGTGGCCGTGGCCACCCCTGGCCCCCCATCTAGCTCCAACCCTGATCAATAAACCCAATACTTGTTCATTCTTTTATGTGTTAAGGTATTTTGCATTAAAAGCACAAGGCTTTACTTGCACCAATAAGCAGAGATGGTTGTAAATATGTACATATTGAGCATATCCAACTGATAATTAGTAATATATATACATATGTGTTTACGTATGGTCCAGCAGAGTAGGCTATCTAAAGTGTTGGGGTACTCAGTGTAGCAGTTGTCCTGTTGCCTTTGTCTCACACATATAAACTACAAAATAACCCATGTGAGAAACAGCTGGCTCAGCAGACCGCCCCCGGCCCTCCCTCAGTCCCTCCTGGATGTTCCTGAGCAGCATATGCATGTTGTGCTTATGAGTTTCTGCAGGGCGTGTGTGAGTGTGTTCCTTTGAGCTGACTGGATCCTGCTCTGTGGATGACCAGGGTGAAGAAAGGAATGCATCTTTTTTTTTGAGGACATTTAGGAAATGTTTATGAGAGAGAAGTGTTAAACTTTTGGTGTTGTTTTTTGCTGCTGGAGCGCTCTGGAAACAGGAGGAAGTGTGAAGGATAATGCCATTGTATCAAATGAGTGTGATCTGAATGGTTCGCATACATACTCTGGATCTGCTTTTGCCTGCAGGACAATCAGGTCTTTTCTGAGCCAGAATATGATATTCACATTTAGGCCTGTGGACAGCAAACATATGGGAGCCGATTTCTGAGAGAAATACAGCCTGCTTTCTGTTTGTGTTCTGGTTGGGAGCGACCAGACAGGAAGGCAGGAGTGAAATCTGCAGCTGTTGAGGATCCCCTGGAGGAGCTGCTAATCTGAAAACAACTCGGAAAACTTGCAGCTCTTGTGTTTTTAAGACTAGGGATTAAACTCTATTTTTGCAATGCGGTTGTGTGTTATTTTCTGCTAAAACGCAGGATTAATTCCTCTTATTGTGTCTGCACATGTTGTCTCATCTCTATATCCTGTTTGTCACAGAAAGGAGAAGAAATCAGTGCTTAAGTGCTGCAGAAGCATTTTTTTCCCTTTTTCTTTTTTAAAATCAGAGCTCAAAGTTCAATTACAGCTTGAGACACATTTTCAGAGTAAATGTTGGTGTTTTTTTTGTTTTTTTAATGTTACATTCACACTACTTTCTCTTTGTTGTGACCGTGTTTTGTCTCAAGAGGTGTTTTGATCTTTCTGACATTCAAACATCTGGGAGGATCTGATCAGGACTGAATGGAATGTTTGTTCATCTGTATCTCCAGACGTCCTTGAAAGCTGCCATAAAACCCATCTGTTACTAAGCACACTTTTTGTCCAAGCAAAGGGATGGGGGGGAGTTTCGGACCTTGATACATTCATATTGCATTACAAATGGAGTCCTTATGTGGACAGGGAGCTGGTTTCCATGACGATCAGTCCTGTAACACAGAGAGCCCCATTGCAATCTCCTCCTTTGCCTTACAGTCAGAGGCTGACTGCATTGGTAGGCCAATACTCTACCAGATTTAGCAGATTTTTCTTTTTTATTTTCTTTTATTTTTTTAAAGGAAAGGGTTTTTTTAAATGCATGCATGTATCTAAAGAGACTTTTCTCTACATCAGGATATCATTGACAAGTAAAAAAAAATGCTATACATTATGTCCATTCATTACAACCAGGGTAGTAAGTAGTAAGTGTTTTTTTTTTTCTGTTATGTAGCTTACAGATGATCAAAATGATTATTGTTATTACTAATGAAGAACGATAGGAAAGAATATTACAAATTTAATATGAGTGCAAATAATTAGCAGTTGATATGTATATTTTTGAAAAAGTTAAGATTAGAGGGTTTTCTTTAGCCATTGGCCATAATCATCTGCATTTAATGTGTGATAACTCCAGTTAGAATATGCTTCTGAGTATAAAATAGAGCTGAACTAAATCAGTCAAAAGGCCAAAATAGTATTGAAATGATCCTTAACTACTCTAATAAATCATTAAGTAATTTAGGAACATAAGTAAGTGAATGTCTATTTGCCCAAATGTCCATTTAAAGAAAATAAAAACAGCTAGAGAAATTAAGACCATTTAAATTTGATATTTCAAAATGGAATTGTTGTTATAACCCTGCATGCAGAAGCGTCACACTACCTGCCTTAGTGATACACCAATAAATTGAAATTTTATTTTCTTCTTTCAGATGGAGGAGGCAATTATGACATAGTGAACAATGCTGCGATTTCTGCAACTGGCACACAAAGCAACAAAAACCAAAATGTGTCTTTAAAGCAAAGCTGGGAGATGAACTACCAAGAGGCGGCCATATACCTTCAGGTTTGACTAAATAACCAGTATATGAGGGTTAATACGCACACTCTCACATGGTCAGTTAAGGGTTTTATGATAGTTCCAGGGCTAAAAATATCATGCAGATGGATAAACTTTGGACTAGAGGAAGTAGTAATTTTGGTAATAGAAAGAGAACTGTTTGCTGGATGCAAATCAAAGTACACTAACTCAAAATGGTAATTGATTAAGCACTTTTACAACAAGGATTAAAAAAAAAAAAACAGTTCTTAAGTTGAGCTTTGCTGTAACTTGTCAAATAAGGATGTTTTACCATCTGTGTTTTGAACGGATCTTCTAGGAAGGAGAGAACAATGACAAGTTCTTCTCTCACCCTCGGAACCCCAAAGCGCTGGCAGCTTACCTGTTTGCCCACAATCACCTGTTCTACATGATGGAGCTGGTGACGGGTCTGCTGCTGCTGATGCTGTCACTCTGCGAAGCTCCGGCTGTCCCCTCGCTGCGCCTGGATGTCTACGTAAGTTTGCAATCCACTTTGAGCTTCTTTGAAAATTCTTCCTCTCAGCTCAACCCCACGACAGTGGGGTGACCAACACAGCGACAGACCAACACATTATAGAGCCTAGTTGTGAAGTAGAGGGAAAGAGAATAGATTGAGTATCTTTTTTTACAATTAAAAATCAGAAAAACTCTGGAATATATTTATCTTCAGATCCTTTACTCTAATACCTCTAAATTAAATAAGATCCTATGAAAATGCCTTGATAATTAGTAAAGGTAGTTCCTATCTATGTAAATTAAGCCTCTGAGCTTTATTGGAGAACCTTAATTAACATGATTAACATTGAACAGAGGAGACAGATCAAGGAAAATGTTGCTGAGAGCTTTAAAGCAGAATTATTTTATAAAACACAATCTTCTAGTTTTCCCCTTTTGTGTCAGTTATCTCAAAAAGGCTAGGGTTAAGGAAAGCAATAAAAAGTAGCAACAAAGGTTGTTGTTTTTTTTATTTGGAGGAGCTTTACTACCACCCATTGAGGATGAGTGAAGCTCCAGGAGATATAAGTACTTTTAGGAAGTATTGCAAATCTTTCTATTATCTATGGAGATCAATGTCGTCATCTGCACACTATCCTTTAAAGCCAGTTGTCTGTACAGGCTGTTGAACGGGACTCTTTCTCAGGTGCATGCCACTCTGGAGCTGCTGGCTTTGCTTCTGGTGGGATTCGAGTTGTGCATGAAACTTCGCTGGTTGGGCTTTCACACATTCATACGGCACAAGAGGACCATGGTGAAGGTACCTGACATCTCACCAAACCCGTCCTGCTCTCTGTGTCTGCAGGCTTCTTGTCGGTAGAATTGTTTTGCAGTTGGTGACTGCATTGTCTTGTTTCTCCTTCCTGTTGCAGACCTGTGTGCTGCTGCTGCAGTTTGTGGAGGCCATTGTGGTTCTGATCAGACAAACGTCACACATGAGAGTAACCCGAGCTCTCAGACCGATTTTCCTGGTGGACTGCAGATACTGCGGTGCTGTTCGCAGGTTGGTTTTTATAAAAATCCTTTCAGTATTTTCTCTCGGAGGAGGCACAAAGTCATTGTTTTACAAGTCTTAAGTAGATATCAGGATTTCATCCCTAAAGCTCTGGTGTGTGATAATTACATAGATTTACTGACAGGACTGTAATACATTATACAAAATTATTTTATTTCTTATCATCTACTAACTGAAAGACTGAATATGTTTGCGTTGCCTTAAATATTGCTATTTATAATTACATAGTATCACATTTACGGGCGCAGACATCTTTGCACTACGACAATCTAGTGACTGCAGAGATCACCATTACACTTGAATGTTACTGTCGCAAGTTAGACCTATATAAACTCTAAATCCTTCACTGACTTATAAAATACTGTTTATAGAATTATTTACATAAACAAAACTCGTCCAGCTATTGTGGAAGCCATTTTTACCATGATGTCCTCTGTATTGTCGGAGGGGAAGAAGGGGTTCATATCACTGCAGTCTGAACATTGGATATTACTGAAAATGAGACACTGTAGCTTTAAGTCCAGGGTCAAGTCTCAAGTCAGAACAGGTGATACCAAAGTAAAATACCAGCCTTAAGACTTTGAATATCAAATCATTTCAAGTGTTTCTTAAAGTTGAATTAAGTTGTAAAAGTAAATAGTTTACTATATTTTCTGAACATGTGATGAAACAAGCGCAACTGAACATTTGCTGATAAGACAAAGTTGGCTAAAGTCAGTTATCACATCGTTGCTGAAGCAGAGTACCTCCTAGTAGGAACAGTAGGAGGCTCCTACTGTTCCTCATGCAGCTTCAAATGTAAGACTCAGCCTGATGTTGTTCCATCTCTCTGATCCTCCTCCTGCCTGTTTTGCATTCTGCATTTGTTTTGTTTTTAAGTACTTTGAAGTTGATGCACTTAAAGAAATTACCATATTTGTTTTTTTTTCTTTTAAATCTGATCAGTTTGATTGGTTCTGCTGCAGCTCACACACATACGTATAGAGAGCCTGTATTAACAGGAGCAGATCACTCGAGTCCCCACTTCTGCTTTAGTCCTTGATAAGTTTGAAAAAAGGTTCCTTCCTTCCTTCCTTCCTTCCTTCCTTCCTTCCTTCCTTCCTTCCTTCCTTCCTTCCTTCCTTCCTTCCTTCCTTCCTTCCTTCCTTCCTTCCTTCCTTCCTTCCTTCCTTCCTTCCTTCCTTCCTTCCTTCCTTCCTTCCTTCCTTCCTTCCTTCCCGTTCCACAATAATTCATGTTTTTATTTGTTGTCAATTCCCTGTTAACAAAGTCTTTTTCTATCCAATCAGGAACTTGCGCCAGATCTTCCAGTCTCTCCCATCTTTCATAGACATTCTCCTGCTGCTGCTTTTCTTCATGGTCATATTTGCCATCTTGGGTCAGAATCGCTCTTAATTTAATTCTCATAAATGTTGCTGTTTATATTGGAGCTAATAGTTATCTGTTTACATCTCCAGGTTTCTGCCTGTTCTCCACCAACACAGCTGACCCGGTAAGTCAACTCATTGGTGTTCCTGGCTGTAGTTTCAGATTGTTGTGCCAGCCTAGATGAGAAATATATGTGTTCATTTAGACTGTCCTCTCACCACAGTACTTCAACACTTTGGAGAACAGCCTCGTCAGCCTGTTTGTGTTGCTGACCACAGCAAAGTAAGCAGAAGTAATGTGTGTTTTGTCATTACACATCTGATGTCCAGTTATTGTTTCTCTGTACTCTTGCATTTTATTTTTGTGAATGTTTTTAGACTGTTTTGGATGTTGCTGGGTGTGACTGAGCTTCTCTCTCTTGCAGCTTCCCTGATGTGATGATGCCGGCGTACTCCAAGAACCGCTGGTCCTGCGTGTTCTTCATTGTTTACCTCTCCATAGAGCTCTACTTCATCATGAACCTGGTACAAATATTTATATTTGTAAAAATAAAACCTTGTAAAAGCATTCATACCCACTGAAATGTCCTTCCTTCTTAACTTCACTCCTTCTTGTTGAGGTTTTATCTGATAAACCAACACAAAATGCACCACTTTGGTGGTCTAATGACGTAAAACCCCACTACAATATGTTAAAGTGTATGATAAAAAATACAAGATGCAGGTAGTAAGGGGTATAATACTCCCTTCCAAGTACTTCGTAAACCCTCTTTAATGTGTATTTTGCTTTTATCCCACCTCTAGCTTCTTGCCGTGGTGTTTGATACATTCAATGATGTGGAGAAGATGAAGTTTAAATCTCTTTTGCTTCACAAATGCTCTGCTATCGATCATGCCTTTCAGCTGCTGGTTAGCCGACAGGTACACAGACTGTTTTTGGTATAAAAATAAGTTTTATGGTTTATTTCTGGTAGCATTTAACTGTCTCTGTTTTTCTTTCCCTCTAGAGGCCGATGGGCGTGTCTCTGAAACAGTTCGATGGTCTGATGCGTTTTTACAGACCCCGAATGTCTGCGAGAGACCGCTTCCTCACATTTAAAGCTTTGAACACATCGGGGGCCCCAATACTCAGGTAATGTCTGGCAGGTGTTCTAAAAGGAAAATCTACTTGTAAGTGTGCTGGTTTGTGATGATTCTTTTCTTTCATAACAGCCTGCAAGATTTTTATAAGTTTTATGAGGTCATTGGTCTCAAATGGAAGGTAATTATTTTAGAATATTTGATTTTATGATCATTACCATTCTTTTTTCTGTTACTCTGGCTGAACATGATGTGCACACTCTGTAAATATGTGTTTGTTCTTCAGCCACGACGGAATAGAGAGCACTGGTTTGATGATCTTCCGCACACAGCCTTCCTCATTTTCAAGGGTAAGATCTACATTTTTTTTGTTTGAACATCAATAGTGAAACAGATTCCTTCCTTTTAAATGCAGTGCCTTGCACAATCATTCCTACTTTTACTAGAAAAGTTTTATTTGAAAAATCAGCACAAAGTGGTGCACAACATAAGAACATCTAAAAAGGTTGCATTTATATTCTGCTCTCTTAACCCAGTAATTTACAGACCTCTACTAACTTTGAGCATCAGAACCATTTTCTAACAATAGTTTTTAGTTAAATCGGCTGAATTTTGACTGGATGTTTTAGTTTCTGTCTTGGCTTTCTTGGTTGGGGATCTGCAATCTGTGGCTTCAGAGCCACATGTGACCTTTAATGGTGCCCAAAAAATTATAGAAAAAGCCATCTAATATACTATAACATAAGTATCAGTCTTAGAAGCGTTAATGGTCATAGTTTTTTTTTTTATTCATTTTTTTTTACATCAAGTAATATCCTAAAGGTTTGTAGAGGTGTAATAATCTATGCCGTTTAGAGGGATGATTGATCAGTTAGCATTTCCTTCTGTAATCCTTCAGAAAATTAAATCCCTAAACTGCTTGCAGAATCCTCTTTGCAAGGGTTAGAATTAGGGCTGCATGTAGCAATTATTTAGCAAATCGATTAATCTGACGATTATTTTTTCAATTAAGCGATTAATAATAAGCTTTTCTTAGATAAGTTTATGAAATTAAACCCGATGAAACTTAAACTTTTCTCTTGTGGACTTATGGATAGTGCAAATTGGGAGACGAAATTATTTTTTTAAATCTTTAATCCAAAATGTTTATATATATTTATTTTATTTTTTATTTTTTTTAAGTGTTGATGTATTTACTGTTCTATTAGGTTGCTCTGTCAACTTAAGGCATATTTTACTGTATCAACACTCTTCTTAACGATTAATGGATTACTAAATTAGTTGACGATTATTTCAATAATAATTTAATCACAATCAATTTGATTAGTTGATTTAGCCTCAGTGAGAATGAGACTGTTCACTAATGAAGGGATTCCTTAAAGCAAGTGGTAGCTGGAATATATTTAGGGGTCTGCACACACCTTTAAAACGTAAAGGTTTTATTCATAGTTTAAACGGTGTGATTTTATAAAATAGCTCAACAGCCTCTTGTCCTTCTCAGGCATCCACCTGGTGGTGAAGTCCAAGGCCTTCCAGTATGCCATGTGTAAGCATCATCACCATCATCATCCTCCCATCTTCCCCCCTGTTCAAACATTCCCCTTTTAAACCTTTCTTTTATGTCTGCAGATGTGGTGGTGGCCATTAATGGTGTGTGGATCCTCGTAGAGACATTCACAATGAACGGTAAGACCTTTGCATGGAATGCACAGACACAACATTAGACATGTCTCCAACACTGGCCTCACTCCCCCCTCTGATCCTGCAGGTGGATATTCTTGGTCTGAACTTGTTCCCTTGAGTTACATCATTTTCCTAACGAGTGAGTAGAAACATGCTGAGTTCTCTAAAACACTTAAAAGTATTTAAAACTGGACACGATTGGACTGATGAGGATCAGAGTCACTAATTCCTCCTCTGCTCCATCTTGGCTTTAGTTTACGGGGTGGAAGTGCTGCTGAAAATAGCAGGTTTGGGGCCGGGGGCTTATTTCAGCTCTGGCTGGAATCTGTGAGTAAAACACTGTCAAAAATCAAGCTGAAGAATAAATGTTAGACTTCTAAAAGTCTGCTTAGTTTTAGTTTTTGTATGAAGCCCTGGAAAGCTTTCAGAACTCGCTTTCTGATCTCTACTGCTGGGCGTCTTCACTGCGTTTTGTTTTCCATCCAGGTTCGACTTCTCTGTGACTGTGTTTGCCTTCTTGGGGCTGGTCGCTCTGGCCTTTAACATGGAGCCGTTCTACTTCATTGTTGTTCTCAGACCGTTTCAGCTGCTCCGGTCGGTTTCTCTCATTTTAAAATCCCACCCATCAGATTCCATTTTGGTTTTTAACAGGTTTTTTTTCTCCTGCTTTTCTCCCAGGCTGTTTAAGATAAAGCAGCGATATCGTAACGTGTTGGACACCATGTTTGAGCTCTTCCCAAGGATGGCCAGTCTGGGACTGACTTTAATCATTTTTTATTACTCCTTTGCCATTGTGGGTATGGAGTTCTTTGCAGATGTAGTTTACCCAAACTGCTGCAAGTAAGTGTCACTGTTGGTGTCAGAGGAAATCTAAACATTACCGTACATTTCCAAATGTTCATGTTTAAACATGTTTACCACAATGAAAACACATTTAAATGTGTTTATTATTATTATTATTATAAACTTTACTCTTCTGCATCTCACCCACATATAGATTAATATTTACTCAAAGGTTCCTTTTGTTTGTTTTTCCCTTTCTTTCCTTTTAGCACCAGCACAGTGGCGGAGTCCTACAGGCAGATTAACAAAACGTACGGCAACAAAACAGTTTTGGAAGAAGGCTACTATTATCTGAACAATTTTAACGACATCCTCAGCAGCTTTGGTAAGTCCTCCTTTCATTATCTTTAAGAGTCCAAATGGTTTTCACATTATCCATAAACTGCTTCAGTAGCATGACTTTCTCCTGAAGCTCCCTTTTAAAGACTTTGAGGAAAACAGTTTTTTTTTTCTGCCACAATTGTTTTTCAATTAATTTCTTGCACCTAATCTATATAGTTTTACGTGGCATTTTCAACACGGTTTATTGCTGGAAAAAAAACATAATTTCTTTGCACATCTTCAGTTTTACTTTGAAGCTAATATGAAACAGAAAACTGACTCATCTATTGGTGATTATTTGTGTTTCAGTGTTAGTTAATCAATTAAACAGTTATCTTTTAATCAAAAGTGTAAGAAAGAGCACAAAAGCATGGGTTTGAAATAAAATCGGTAAGGCATTAAGAAAACCTTAGAGAATTGTTATAGAATCGCTGATCCTCTTAAAGCTAAATATAAACAAATATTTGTATCATTGTGTCTGTTATAAAATATGCTTCATTAAAAAAAATGAAGGGAAATGAAATAATGTGAGGGCAGATGTCGACTGTTCACACAAAGTGTTAAAGAGATGTTCAACACTTTTTCATTTTGCCTGCAGTGACTCTGTTTGAACTGACTGTGGTCAACAACTGGTACATCACCATGGTAAGAGTCTGTCATTGTTGCTCAGAGCTCCTACAGCAGACCTGTTGCTCTTTAACAACTATTTTTTTTTTACAATTGATTGAGTTTTACACATATAAACCATCAAATGAATTTATTATTACAGAAAGTAAAAAAACAATTCAATTCATTTTGAAAGTTAGCAATATTAGGCATTAAATTAGAAAATATTTGTTAATGAAAACAAAATGTAGCATATATGATAACCCCCCTGTGTTTTAAGTTCATGATTTTTATAGATTATTGTTGTTCCAAATAACATCTTTTAGGTTTAATGGTATACATTTTTAGCCGTGTAGGAAGAATTAGACTCAAGATCACCTCAAAATAATCTGGATATACTAGTTTTGAGCAGGAATATCCTAAGATTTGTAAATGTAGCAATTATGTAGTACATGTGATTTCAAGGTATGTAGATTTTAAAGTGAGATTTTGCTTTGAGATATTAAGAGTCAGGCCCTTCTCCAGTTTGTATCTTCAATTTGACACATATGATATGATTTTCATCCAGGTACAACTCAGATCTTCTTAGAAATATTGTTAAATTGGTTTGGGGGAACAGGAAAGATTTTCATAGACATTAAACTCTATTAGTAAAAATTATTGCTGGTTTATCACAGAGCTAATGAAGATGGTTAATGTCTCTTTTAAAAGTTTTTGAAAGATAGGATTAAGATTGAGTCAAGGTTTATAAGACTTTTTATTTTATTTACCAGTTACCGTAATTCCCGCATCATAGGTGCACTGGATTATAAGGAGCAAAATCAAGGCGCAAGTCATCTTCCTGCTTCCTCCACTTCGTACTAGAGCTGAACGATTTTGACAAAAATCAAAATCATAATTATTTTTGATCAATATTGCTTTTGCAGTTTTATTTCAATTTCCTTATTACTAACCACATGTATAGGTTTCATTACACGGATCTCTGTGGTAACTGCAACTCTTTTGACCTTTATGTTTGCCGGCAAACCCACTTTAAGTGTTTTACAGCCTCTGCAATTTGAATAATTAATTTAATTTAATTGCGATTTTATTGCTATTGAATTGCTAGCCCTACTTGGTACCATTGATTCATTAATGTTGAATTTTCTTATAGCTGCTCGATTTCCATGTTCTTCTTAATTACTGACAGCCTTGAGTAGGAAGTCTGCATCATAAGCGTGTCTCTTGACAGGTGCCATTTTGGGGTCCTTCTATACACACTGTAATATTATGGTGAGGCACAGTGTGTATTACTCCTCCATGCTCCTGACTTTGGTAGCCATGATGCTGTAGTTTTGTAGTTTACAAAAATTGTTCTTAAAGGGTGCCATGTCATACAAAACTGCTTCGAGGTCAGTAAGCTCTACCAGAATAAATCCATATAAAAGGTGGATTATAAGGTGCATTGTATTTTTTATTTATTGTAATTAAAGTCTTAAGGTGTGCCGTATGTGCTGAAAAAACTGTAACCTTTAAGGTGTTGAAAGTGATGCTTCAACTGCATTTTCTCCATCTTCCAGGAAGGAGTGACGTCCATGACAAGCCACTGGAGCCGCCTGTACTTCATGACTTTTTATATCGTTACCATGGTAAGTTGTTTTTTTTTCCCCCCCTTAGTATTTACTCAGAGTATTTCCCTCTAACATATTATCTGTTTTTACAAGCAGAAGTTTGAAATACAGCAGGTGACCACAGTGTTTATTTCCTTCTCCTTTTCAGGTTGTGATGACCATCATTGTGGCCTTCATTCTGGACGCTTTTGTGTTCCGCATGAACTACAGCCGCAAGAACCGGGAGGCGGTGAATAACCCCGAAGGTGTCTTTTTAATTTTTGTATGATGTAAACAGGATTTAAGGTGAGAGAGCAGGTGTGAGTTAAATGTGTGTGATTGTGCCGTAGATGAAAATGGGATAGTGTTTGAAGTGGAGGTGAGGAGAGATGAAGCCTTGGCCACCCTGGAGTTTTACAAACAGACAACCACATCTCTGTCCTCGCTCAGTACGCTGGCTGCCGTCCTGCAAGCCATGGACAAGAGTGGAGTAAGAAAATCACCTCTAAATGTTGCTCCTGCTGCATCGCAAGGAAACCATGCTAACCTACTCTCTTCCTTCTACTTCTTGGTGTACAGCACACATCTTTGGTTTACTTGGGCCGCAGATCAAGGACAAAGAGTGACCTCAGTATGAAAATGTATGAGGAGGAGATACAGGTAGGAAACCAAAGGATATGCTAAATGCATGGTTTTATAGAAGTGTCAACATGCTTTTAAAGTCCCTATGTAATATTCAGCCAGTTCTATAGTCTTAGCTCACATTAGAGACGATGACATTTCCCAAGAAGCTAAATGTCAGTATAAGAAGAACAGATTTCGAAGATAATAGACTTATCGTTTTGGTCATTGCAATATTTCTGAATATTAATATCATCCTAACATTGTATAGCCCAAGCTATAAATAATGTGGGGCACAATATAAACACATGGAAGAAGAGCCTTTTATCAGATGAGACAGAAAAATTTAACTTTTGGCAGTTCACCTTAACTCTCCCGGAACACACCACACCCAACAGTGACTGCAGTGTTAATCTGTAGATAAGTTTTTCTCCTGCTGGGATAGTGAAGCTGGAACACGGATAGAGCTAAATATGGGGTAATCATGTTAGATAATGCAAAAGATAAGAGAGAGAAAGAGGTTCACCTTCTAGCAGGACAATGACCCTAAATATACAGCCAAAGCTACAATGCAAAGTCTATTAATTTACCAAGACGACCTCGTCAAAGTCCAGACCTGAATCTGGCTAAGAATCTTTAGGACTATAAAATTTTTCACAGACATGAGCTTTAGGCGGTGGTTCTATGACGTCTGAACTCCCAATGGCAGAATCCATGCCACACTTTTCAAACTCATATTTTCCTTAATTCTTAATGCTTTGCTTTGTTGCTGAATATGAAGAAAATGAAAGTCGAATTTACTCTGTAGTTTAAGCTTTTTGGACAAAATGTAAAAAAATAAAATCAAGGCATGTAAACACTTTTACCAAACACTGTCATTGTCTGGGCTGCCCTTCCAAGTTTTCCCTCTGATCTATTTTAATGACTCTTTTTGTCAGGAGTGGTATGCAGAGTTTTCCAGGGAATGTTCGCCTCAAGGAGACGAAAACCTAAACCTGGATCAGAACAACGCCGTCGCCGACCCGTCTCCTTCACAAGAACATCAGTTAAACTCACAGGGTGGTTCTCACAGCATTAACTGAAATAACATGTAAGCGAGATGTACATAAACAACACCTCAGAGGAAACCCCAGCACTTCCAGTCCCCCCCTCTGACTCTCAATAATGCCCTGAAAGAGGGGGGGTTAAAATGACGAGTCTCTTGAACTGATGTTGGTGAGATTAAATGACGCTGAGATTGACATTTTGAAGGACCCTAAAGAAGCTACCAGAAATCGTCTACTACTGCAGTTTATTTTGTGTAATTATCATGATCCAAAGTTTTGTGTACTCTTAATATAAATTAAACCTGATGCCTTAGTTTAACAGTTTCTGACCGGTATTAACATGAAGATACTAGATTCTTTGATAGCTGTAAGAACACTAAACACTCCCTAAAGGTAAATCCAATGTTCTCAATGTAAAAAGTTTCCCTTACTGTCTCAAAAGACTTAAAGTATTTTATATAAGCTCTCATTCTGTAATGTTCCTGAAAGTAACAACAGATTTTAATAAAAGTATTCATACAATGAAGTCCCTGAGTGCATTGCTGCTGTGTTTCAAACAAGGTGGTAATTTAAAAATCACACTAAATTAAAAAAATTTTCTTCAAAAGCCCCCATAAAAACTGAGGTTTTTTAGAAAAATAAACAACTGCATTAAATCACAGAACATTTACAGTATTTAAAAGTGTGACATTTTTAAAACACGGAGTAAATATCAAAATATCCCAGAGATGGATGAGGGAACGGTAAAAAGGCACAGTGTGATTGGTTTGCTGAGCACCTCAAGTCTTTCACCTCTTGGTTTTAGTGACCAAACACAGGAGAGTCTGTGTTAAGCATGTGAGTGCATCACAGTTAATATCCAGTATTGTTTCAAGCAGGGGATAACGGCATCGGTCTGCACTCTTCCGTCTCTCACAAGGTCAGGTGTGGATCTTTCCAAACTCTGTGAGAAGCGCAATGAGAAGAAATACAAAGTAGAAGACGAGGAGGAAGATGCCGTAGGACCGACCCAGATGGAAGTGGCTGAGTGGAACGATGAGAAAGGACAGGACCAGGGACAAGCCCAGAGAGCCTGCAAGAATCCACGTCAACAAGCCCTCAGATCCAAACTAAAGAGGAAAACAAGAGAATCAGCTTGATGGTTTCTAGAATAGTGTCTTCTGTGGATTTTAAAGTAGAGGATTACCTGAACAGAAGATTGTGTTTTATACATCTGCGCCAGGCATCCCAACCCGACTCCAAACAGCATGTCTGAGATACAGTCAAGATCCCATCGTTTGACTCTTTGTAAAAAGATGCTTTTAAAATTATGTGGTTTAGGGTAATAAAACTATTACCATGTTTTATTGAGGTTTGAAAAAAAAAATTACATCAATCATAAAGGTAGGCTCAGAAGATTAATTGTACTTTATAATCTACTACCGGTATTTGGGATAATCTGTAGCTCATGATTATCGACACTACTTGGGGTATGAGTGCTTAATTTAGGATATATATATATATATATATATATATATATATATATATATATATATATTTCAATCTCAGTTCTTAATATTTATATTTCTATGTCTCTTCAGTTTTATTTTTAGAATCGTTATTTCTTTTCGCCATGCAGTCCAGCTCTGTATACATGTTGACATCTATCCTTTGTACAGATATTCCACTTCCTTCTGTTCTCATCCTAAATAACATTCCCAAATTCGTTCTATAAACTTCAGTGCAAAGGATACTGAAAATAATGCCTCCGAAGCAAGCAGCTATGGCCATGCGTGGGTAACCCTGCCGAGCCACTGTGATGTCAGAGAAACAGTCTGAAACAGAGAAATAAATCAATGGTTAGGTGCTCCAATGTGGATTGTGTGATCAGACTCGACAGATATCACCTCCGATGCTGTTGCCCCAGGCCAGAAGAGTCAAGCCCAGCACCGTGTTGCTGAGGCTCAACACCACACCGAGCATGTGCAGAAGACTGACCACCTCTGAGGCGGTGGCGCTGATCAACACTGCGCTCGCCACAAAGCCCAGGAGTGCAAATATCTGGAGGAACAAAGACGATTAGACTCGCATCTACTGAACCTTCTGATCATTTGTTGCATTACAAAATTTATTGGGTTTTCTGCAACAGGCCAGCAAATCAGAAGGTAAATGGCAAGGTTCTTAATATTTGTTTATAAATAAAAGAAGAATGTGGTGTGTGCATTTGCATTCAACTCCCATAAATATCTTTGAATAAAATATAGTAAAACACTATTTTTAAAGATCAAGTTGAGTCACCTTATTCTGTTTTTTGTTCTCAGTATAATTCCAATAATGTTCCGCTGGAGAACTTTAGTAAACAAACAGAATCATTCAGACCAATGAATAGATCTAGTTCATATATGAAAAAAACAACTAATTTAATAAATTAAATAAGAAATTAGTGATTCCAATTCAGTTGTAATTATAACAATGAAGTCAGGGGCAGTTTGATATTCCATCTGGTTAGACATTTTCCATCTAAGAAAATTAGCATTGGAAACAACAAACCTGATTTAAGTTCATTAATTAGTTGCATGAACTGCATGAATCAGGTGGTGAAGTAACCACACCCCTATATATTTCTGGCCAATCACATCATGTATCGTCTAAAACATGGTCAGCAGCAAAACGGATAGAAAGGCAACCTGCTTTACTTTACTGGTGTCTGTGTGTGGGAGGGGGTCACCATCCAGCCGGACAACCCTAGGCAGCTACAGCAGCAGCCATCTAAAATGGCCTTTCCCAGTCAAACGCCAGCTTAATGGCAGCAAACTTCCTGCCACTGGAGTGACCCCCTCCTTCTCCTGGATGTGCATATTTTTTTTACTCTGACTCCATCCTTTCACTGAATTACAGAGTCTGACCAGGAGAAGGTGCTTCTCTTTAGATCTTAATGTCCACATATAATGGCTGAAAGAATGTTTTAGTATAAATATTGACCAAGGACCAGCCAAGGGCCCATCAAGGAAAGTGGGGAAATTTAGAATGGCTACTACTGTATAGTGGAGAACTTTAGTTCAAAAGATACATACTCCTTTGTTATGACTCATCCAGAGCTGAATTCAGTAACTGTGGCAGAAGCTCCCTATCAAGTTTGACTGGATTTTAGTAATTTCAAAAAAAATGTCTTGCATTTAATCCTGTCGACATGCAGGGCTGGTAGAGACCAGCCACAGTGCATGTTGGTTCTACACACAAGAAACAATTTTAAAAGGTAAAAAAATAAAAATCTGTCATTGTCCCTTAATTTTACAGTCACCCTATAACTCATTAAATGACATTTGAATTAAATGCTCAACATTTTGTGACTATAGCTTTAAAAAAAAAAAGGGGATTTACTTATTTTGCAAGGCATTCCCTTTAATTTAATTAGGAATACTTCAATATAACAACATGCTGCATTTTAAGGAAACATCCTGAATCTAAACTAAATATTGTTGCATATTTTGCTTAATTGGCTCAGTGTCCAAATAAGGCATATTCTACTCATTTGTTTGTTTTCCTCCCTGTTTTACAAAATTTGAAGTTTTCTATTCTTAATATGCATTAGCAAGACCACCTACTGGGTGATATTTGGGAGGCTGGTCGTTGGTGGTGGTGCAGAAAACTATAGCCGCCAAGAACATTCCCAGCAGGAGAGTCAGCAACCAGATAGGAAACTCCCCCTGAATCATGACTTCGCCATCTAGACGATGAGAAAAAACTCAATGTTTAGGCATTATTTTATCTTAAAGTAGCTTTAGTGTGTTTATAGTTATTATCGTTTTATAGTGTGACATAATGTGCTTACATGCTCCAGACTGAAAGACAAGAACACACAGCAGAGGAGCAGTGATCAAATGGAGGCAGTTTAACGGTCTCCTCCAGTTTTTGTCCTCCTTGTCTAGGTCCACTACAGGGACACAGAGCAGCAGCAGCACCTCCAGAGGAGTCTTATATCCAAACAATGGGAGAAACATTACAATGAGAGATTTAAACAGACCTTATCCCTCTGCACTGTTCACCAGATTCGGACAAACCTTCACTACTTTAAGGAGCCTCCAAGTCCATGATTTCCTCCGCCACTTCCTGCTGTCCACTGGATTCAACGAACTCATCAGGATTTCACTTGTGGACTCAGAATATGGCAGCAGTGGCCTGTACTCAGAGTCTGCAGCACAAACGTGTGATTATTGATGGGGAAACGTGCAAAAAACCCTCAGTGGTCTGAGCTGCTGCATTCTTACCGTAGTCCTGCTGGATCGTTCCTCCTGTCAAGCATGGAACGTCTTCATCAGATGAGTCTGATGAGCTGAACTCTGCCTCAAAGAAAAACAAACTCATCAGTAAAAAAAGCAGGAAGAAAATGCACATAGAATATTTGAATATGTAAAATTCTAACCTGGAATATGTGGAACGTTTTGGACACTGTTTGTATCAGAGTTTTTTCTCCGGTTATAGATGTATGAACTGATAATAACGGTCAGAACATAAACCACATAGAGGCTCATGTATCCTGGAAAAAAAAAGAAAGGAAAAGAGAACCAGTCATACCTCATGAATGTTAATACAGTGCTATACAGTTTTGATGTGTGAAGATGATAAGTATTATGAGAGCTGGTCACTTAATTCCTGTTTTTATTTCTGCCATTTTCATCAGGTTTAAAAAGAAGTTAATTTCCAGAATCAATTCAATATAATAAATAAACATTTCACCAAAATGCATAAAATCTAGCCTAGTAAACTAGCCCCACCCGCCAAAATCATTTTTGCCTGCGAGTGGTCTAGCCTCGATGAATGACCCAGGCCAGAACTGGCTGGCCAATCACAATGCAGAGATGTGTTTTGTATATTTGGATGCAAAGCAGGCGGGGTTTTGAGGGCGTGACAACAAAGCTGCGCAACTCTGAAGAAAGCACAACAAGGAAGATGGCTACAACTATTGAACAGTTCTCGTTTGACTCAACTTTGGAATCAGTTTTGGAAGGATTAGACTTGGGGTTTTCATTGAAACGTGAGCAGAAAGAAGCTCTACGCTCATTCATTTTTAAACAGGACATTTTCAGCATTTTACCAACAAGCTGTTTGTTTACACTCCCCCACCAGCTTTCTGTCGCGCTTACTATGTCACAGTCAGTTGCGCTCATTGGTCAGAGCGTTGGCCAATAGGCACAGAGATGGTTTGAAAAACAATGGGTTGTTCTCATCAACAATCTTCCGATGTCTCATTCATCGGTGCCAGACTAAATTACACATTTAATCTCACATTATGTCTGATTTATCAGGCTACATAAAATACATATAAACTAGAAAAGCACTCTGGGAGGGCAGACCTCCGCCAAACAGCTCATTCCCCCCCCCAACATATTGTGACTTCCCCTTAAGTTAATACTTTGAATACAGGTACAGTAGGGCAGGACAATTAGGGCTGGGCAATTAATTGCATTTAATACAATTGAAATTTAGAGAAATGTCATTTTCAAACTGCAGAGGCGTTCCATTTTAGTCACATTACATTTAACAAGAGTAAGACACTCAATTTATTCCTCCAGCCCTGCAGGTGGTGGTAATACACTTAAAGGCACACTGCAGACTTTGTGACCTAAACAGTTGACGCATATGAGTCATTTTAAATGATTCATCACGCCAATATACAGCACTTCACCCTATTAATGCTATGAACGGGGCTCCCCTCTTGAAATACTGACTATGTAAGTTGGGAGAAGATGCACCGTGATTTGCCAGGTCATGTGACCTGGAGGACTTTACTGATATCGTCATGAACTATTATTTTTCCACCTGCTCGACTACTGGTCATGGCTGAGGCACGGAAAAAGTTTAAACCTTCTGAGGAGGCTAAAAAGAGAAAACGTGAAAGGGGTTGTGGCGAAGGAAAAACAAGAGACGAACAAGAGCAGGCGCGGGCTGAAAGAAGCTGAACCTAGACGTCTAGCACCATCCCCAATCAAAACACACGGGAGGCTGGTGGGTTGACTGTTTGTCGACTTTTGCGACAGTGCTGCTGCGATTGTGGCCACTAGACTTAAAGGTTACAGGTCTAGCACCCCTAGTGGCCAAAAGTTACATGTGTGCCTTTAAAGTAGGTTTGATGCCACACAAAAGTTAGCAATGGAATTGTTGCCAAGTAAGCTTTCAAGGTCATGAAAAAACTGAAACCCTGGAGTAAAAAAATCCTCATGCTTTTGCTTAGTGCAAAGGAAAATCACAATAAAATTGCTAAAATAATGGCTATCTTGATTTTGAGCAAAGTCGTTTAGATGGTGATCCCGATCATCACCAAATGTAATCATTTGTTGCCAGCCACACTACGCGCTTTCTGTGAAAATATATTACGCTAAGCTGTGTGTTTACCCAGTGTTTCTCCCAAGGTTGTAACGCCTCTGTAGAGGATGAGAAAGGTCCAAAACACAGCAACCATGTAGAAGATGACATCACGTAGAAACGGACGGGAAGCTACAGCAAAGGGTTTGACCAGTGCAACGCTTCCAGCCACTACTGTGGTAACAAATATCCCGGCTCCTGTAAGGACACAATTATTATCCTTTAAACATTGCTGTTAGATTATCTTGATGCTAGTAGGAGAAAAATAGAACTCAAGTACCAAACAGAGCCCCGACAGCCAGCCCAGCGGTATGTGGATGGGAGATCGCTGCCATGGCACTAAAGATGTCTGGAGCTCCATTACCCAACGCCAGGAACGTCACACCCTCAGCAAGGATTGCTGTCAAAGAAACAACTCTCCACCAAGCATGGGCCAAGATTGAACCAAGGTTTTAAAAAGTGTCACATCATTTTTATATCAAGCAGTTGCTACTTTTAAAGGTTGTTTCACTCAGATAGCAGAGAAATCTGGTGAATGAGTTAATTTTTAAAGTAGTGAATTTTCTGCAGCAATGTGGATCATAGTATAATGCAATATTGCTCTTCAAGCATGGGTTGCTTTGCCCTGCTGGTCAGCTGGCTGAAAGAAGGCAAATACAGATTCAAGATTATTAAATTCGGCTGTTTGGAAATAATTTTGACATTTCAAAAAAAGTTAGCAAGCTGAGCCCCTGATTACACATAGGTTTTTTTTATCTAAAAACTGAAAAGTTCTGTTACGCTTACTGTGTTTGTTTATGCCAAAATGGTGTGTGGAAATCATCCCCATATTGGTTGCAGTGTAAACAGGGATAAAAACATTTTATTGGGAGGTCAGAGTGGCATGTTTTTAATCAGGGAATGTAGGGTTGAAACAATTAATGGTGACTAATCGATTATTAAAATAATCGTCAACTAATTTAGTAGAATGATTTAGTTAATTAAATCATTAAATGGAGTATAGACTATAAAACATGTCTTTAGCTGACAGTGTGACCCACTTAGAGCAGTAATTATATCAAAACTCTAAAAAAAAAATGTAAACATATTGCATTTAAGATAAAAAAAAAGTTTTTATCTGTAAATATGCTCCATCTTCCTCAAGTGGAAAAGTTTTAGTTTCACCTGGTTTAATTTCGAAAAAAAAATTCTTTAAGGAACCTTTCACTATCTTATTATTAATCGATTATTTAAAAAATAATCAACCGATTAATCGATTTGCAAAATAATCGTTAGTTAGAGCCCTAAGGGAATGTTTACTTTCGTGCTCAAATTGTTGCCTTTCAGAGAGCCGTCCACTTACTAGTGGTGTAGCAGGGATAATATACCATTTTTAATGTTTCAACCTCTGTCTTTGCACAGATTGAAATTAAAACATGATTATGTTGGTATAACAGCAACGGAAAAATAATCCAATTTTCAACTGACATTTTTTGTAAACTGAGTAAGCGGAGTGAGCTGTAGGCTAATTATAGAAGCAGAGAGCATGACCAGCTAATTTTAGCCTGTTATGATCCTAGAGTAACTATCAAGAGCAGAATTAATGTTCTATCAATTAAGCAAGCTTATTTGATAAATACTAATCAGATCAACAGGACATTTATTCTGGACTTTTGTTTATTTTGAAATATAAAACCAAAATAAATCAATGTCAGATAAGACTATCAACTGATATAATCATTTCTTTATTAGCTGCAGCAGGAATAATTTTTTTTTGTTTGTTTGTTTTTCTGTTTAAGCAAAGTATCTTTTTTAAGTAAGTATATTTTTTAAGTATTTATATATATATATATATATATATATATATATATATATATATATATATATATATATATATATATATATATATATATATATATATATATATATATATATATATATATCTGTGTGAGATTGTAACTCTAAATTCAAGTAATTTCATATGGTTCCAAATCTTGTTCACATAAATAGACTAAAAATACTGGATTTCTCTCCATCTACCAAAGTTAGAAAAGAGACTAAAAAAACCAAGAACTTAGAGCTTGCTGTTAAAGGAAGCGGAAAAAGGATACAGCCACATTGTGAGAGAGGTGAAGAGTTGAGGAGATTGCTGAGAGGTTGGGGCAAAAACTGGGGAGGGAAAAACCAAATAAAATACATATAAAAAATGTTTTTACATTTTTATATATGGCTGAACAGCATAGTTTGTTTAATACCAATATGTAAAGAAATACAAAAACAACCAAACAAAAACAAGAGCAAAAGTCCCTCTGTGTCTTTAAATGAAGTTTTATCTCAACAGTCATGTGAGTCACATGACTGTTAGGCTGACAGGGTGAAGTCAGCTCACATGCCTTTTTACCATCTACAAACTAAACACACAGAGAGGGCACATGTTGCCCCCGGTAACAGGAAACATACTTACAACTTGGAAGCAGCAAGTCCAAGGATGACAAACAGGACGATCAGCCATATGACCTGCAAATAAACAGCCAAAAGAAAATGCTTTAATGATTTCATAGTCAAATTAATCAATTGCCAAGAAAAAAAGATGACATTCCTCCTAATAACTGTGGATTTGGTTAAGTTTTTTTTAATATATATATATATATATATATATATATATATAATTAATGTTCTCCAAAAAATATTCAGTGGTCAGATTGGAAAGCACAATCTTACTTCCTGTTTTTTTTTTTCATATGAGTTGGTTGTATTCATTAGAGGAACTGAATATATCTAAGAATCGCAGTGAAGTTACAGGATTTAGCAAACAGTGAAACTAGTGTTTTGTTTTGTGTGTCACTTCTTCCGCCGCTCAGTCAACTTCCTCATCATCCATTGCTGATCTGCGGATTGTCCTGCTGCTTTATGACGTGGGTTCATGAGCGATTACAAAAGCAAACACACACAAACAAACAGGTCTTACACAGAGGGTGATGGTGAAAGGAGTGAGGTTTGGAGGCAGCAAGCAGAAGGCCACTCTCAGGTAGTTCACCATGCCATCTGCCATGCTGCAGTCAGCTGTCCTCTTCACGAAGGCGCATCGCTCTGAGGCGCTGTAGTTCATCACAAGGTCGCACTGCACGGATACACAGGTAGCTAAGTCAATGCGTCCACATGGAGGAGAAGTATAAACAATGTGCTGGTTTCATCATCGTACTGATTTATTGATTCCCTGGCAAATATTTCTAAAATTCAAAGGGCAACACTAATCTCAAACACTACAACTCTGGATCTTTACCTAAAAGCAATCTTTTGTACTGTAATCAATCATAACGTTAAAAGCGCTATTGTAAAGTTTCTAAAGTGCAAATTTAACCAATAAATGAAACATATTTTTTTATCTAAAGCCCTGAGGGGAACCAGAATTTAGGGAACTGCGCTATACTTTTTCCCTCCATGAACCAAATCCTAGGTGAAGCATCAATGAATTATAATCCTGGATCAGTTTTACTTTGGTTATTTGATTTTCCATTTAGAAATAGATAACATAAAACAAGAGGTGATTCAGTTTTGGTCTTAAAATACAAACATTTAAATTGCAATACAAAGTGTTTCTCTTATTCTGTGTCAAAAAGGGATAAGAAGAGTTTTGAAAATAATTTAATTTTCATTTTCTCTTTTGATTAATAAAAAAAAAACAAACTAACAAAGCTAATTTCTTTTAGACAACGGAAAAAAAGCCTTGTATTTTATTTTCAAATTTTCATTATAAAAATAGCTTGTTTTGTTTTTAAAATAAAAATGACCAAAAGATACACTGGTCATCCTGGGACTTACTTTCATTTACATTAACAATAACTATGACAGATTGGTAAATAAACATGTAAGGGAAAAAAAAAAAAGACACTGACCATCTATGGAAACAATACTCAAAATAGTGAGTCTTTTAATGCATTCTAAATTTACAATACTTTAAAATACTTATTTTTTTTTTTTTTTTTTTTTTTTTTTTTAGCTTACTTTAACTCCCTGGCAATGAGTTTGTTTGTTGTGCAGAAGTATTTGCCCATACTTCTCTGCAGTGTTTTTTTTATTTTTTTATTTAGGCCCATTGAATAGTTCTTGTTTTTAGAAATATAAACAAGGTAAATATTATTTTATCTTAAAGTAATCAGAATATATTTTAGCCTTAACCAGATGTGTAAAAAAAAAACTAAACTAAACATTAGCTGTTTTGGCCACCATGAAATGCTGCACTGGGCTGGGAGTCCTTCTTACCATATTAATACTAGCAATGGTCAAATATAACTAATAAAGATTGTTTAATACATTTAAATTTGTCAAACTAAAAGAAACTGAGCAGTTTAGAAAATAAACTAGGACCATATAACTTTAATATAAACATTGACTCAGCTTCCTTTAAAATGTGTAACTAAAATACAATTATTATTATTATGGCCCTGATGGTCCTTTCTGAGAAAAAAAAAAGAAATTAGGGATGATTCTAAGAGGAAAAAGCATCATAAATGAGAAATTAAAGACTTGCAGTTTTATTTATTTCAATCTAGAATTGGCTTCCATTTTTTTTCTCTTGAACATTTTTCATTTAATCTCTTTGCAATCAGTAAAACCAACAAAAAGCAACAGTATTTTCCTGCAATGAGAATCTTTCTTAAACTTTTTGAATTGTTGCTCTTTTTATTATTTTAAAAATCTTATATGCTTTTATTGCCTAGTCACTCACATACTTTTAGGATTTAAAGGGTATTTCTATTATATGTAAATCTATGACAGTCTGCTCATTCATAACTCAACATGTCAGAATAAGCAAGTGAAGGACCACCTTCCTCCCTGAAACCTCATACTAATGTTAACTCTTACTGCAGATTGTTTACTATAGGAAATAAGCCAGGATTTCTGACCCACCTCGTCACTCGTACTTTCAGACATCATGGCTAACAGGGTCGGTCCTGCTATTCCAACACCGGGCTGGTTAGTGAGACTCCTGCAGTCTGAGACAAGCAGCTGGCCGATCAACACCAAGGCAGGAAACCATTGACAGCCGTAAGGATCCACAGTTTATCCTGGAACCGCGTCCATGCTGCTATCGCTGCGGTAACAGGACTCTGTCCTTGGCTCCTGGAGGCCTTCCAGCTGCTGACCTGACTGCTTTAATTAAACCACGGGCCTACGAGAATGAAAATAAACATCACGACGTTGTAGCGGGTGTTGTTTACCTGCCTGCTGCCCTCCTCTACCAACCTGACAATTTTCTATTGCACCTTTTCCTGAAGCTCCGCCCATTGATAAAAAAAAAAAAAAAAAAAAGAAGAAGAAAGTGACCCGTGAAGCGTTTAAAGACCTCTCGAAAACAGAGATTTGAAGCTCCGCCCATTGGTTAAAAAAACGGACCCGTGATGCGTTTAAAGACTTCTCTAAAACACAGATTCAAAGGTCCAAAGCAACACTAAGCGGAAGAACATTTCCCAACCAGGGGTTATACACTATAATGTTATTCCGCAGTCATGAATTTCAAAATAATTTTAAGGAACACCTTTAGGAGTTTTAAAGCGGAAATAATTGGTTGGAGTTTTGATTTCTCAATCCTGAATGAAAGTTTGAAATTCCAAGTTTATTTCGATCGCTCTTAATTATATATATATATATATATATATATATATATATAGGCCAAATCTAAGTTAGCCTACACTCATGACTCCATTTTCTATTTGAAATTGAGTCTTTTTTTAAATTAAAAAACTAATTTAAAAATGTCACTGAAATTACATTAATAGATTAACAAAGTAAAAATAATAACTCTTTTTTTGATAACTTTTTTTTTAACAAATAAAGGTAAACAGCTTAACCATTCTAAAGCGATGGATGGATCCTATTTAAAATAAAGACTATGATTTTATGATTTCTCTAGAATGGCATTTATGCAGGTTTTTCTAATGTATATCTAAAACTTTTATATAGAAAATGAATATATATATATATATATATATATATATATATATATATATATATATATATATATATATATATATATATATAAAACATTATTTTAAGGACTCATTTAACAAACAAACAAAAAATACCATTTTGGTTAATTATTCTTTACAAACGTTTATTCAAAACATAAACTTGTTTAACTTTAGTAATCTCTGATAACATGCTTGATGTTCACTCTTTAGCAGAACATACTTTGATAGTGTTAAAGAAATATAAACTGATTTATTAACAGTCAACATATCCTTTTTTTAAATAACAGAAGTAGAGAACCTTCTCTGAATCAGTCTTTCCTCTATTGCATGTGTTATCTAAACTTTGCCTTTTCAATAAATGAGTAGGACCATGAAAGACAAGCCTGTAACTATCTAAGTCATATCATTTAAATGGGAAATATCCAAGCATTATTAAAGAACAACAGAAATGTTTCTCATCTAGAACATAATACCTTTGCCTTAATAAAAAAAAAGCATGGTTTTCTGAATTGAAGAAACATCGGCTCTCTTATCTGAAAACAATCAATTTCAATAATATGGACTACATCAGATCAGAGCAGAAATTCATCAGGATCCAAAGGTTGCTCAGTTTTGAATCAGCTGATAAATCAGCTATAAACCAGTGAATCATCTTGGGATGAAGTGCTGGAATCATAGCAGCCTCTCATCTGTTTAGATGCAACAAGACACAGATCCTGTTCGCACCATCTGATGAAGCAAAATAGAAACATATTAAATAATTGTATAGAATCTGTGCTTCCTTTTTTGAGAGGTTTAACAGTGTTTTTTTTAATCAACCAATTTCATTTTTGTGTTTTTCCAACCTGAGAGCTGCATAGGTGTCCTGTGGGGTGGCCTCTTTCCAGCTTGCATGGTCTATGAGAAGTGCACCTGGTAACAGGAGATTTAAGGACTTAAGCACTGATCTCAAACTTGTTAACCTATTAACAATGGTTAACAATTATGTGAAAAGACAGGATTGTACAGTCACTAGCAGAACCTCGCACGTTTCAATAAATTTGTATTTATTTATTTCAAAGGGACAATGCATTTACATAGTATACATACATATTTGCAGATATACTTAAAAAATACAGGATTATAGCAAATACTGAATTCTTTCTGGTTTAGATCAAAGGATAACCAAGAGAGAAATGTCCTAGTTAAAGCCTAGAATGGAATACCATAAACAAAATCTGTAGTAAGATTTCTGAATTAATTAATTTAATCAAAGTGATGTTCAGCAGTTTTTTATAAAGAACAGTTCGTAGATTCATTCTGAAATGAACACAGCTAGTAAAGACTTGTGGTAGAAAGCTGAGTCTACAAGGCACTAACTGAGGAGGCTATATCCATATAAACACCCCAGTGTTTAGTCTTTTATAAAAAAAAAAAAAAAAACTGATGTTTTTTATTTTCATTATGCACAATTTTTCTTTAACAAGTAATAGAATAAATTACATTTATTTGATTGTATTATGAATGGTTTAGCATTGCCCTGTAACTGTTGCATATCTAAGCACCCACCTGCATAAATACGAGCCAGGCTGTATGCCAGATCTCTGGCTGCCAGTTCCAGATAACTGGGTGATCTGGAAGCTGCTATCTGGACAAACTGCTCCAGTTCAGACAGAGCACCTGCAACTGCTTTCACAGCCGGGGCCAGGGAGGAAACTCCTGAAGCACCTGTGAGCAGTGACTGCAGAATAACACAGACAGCTGTTAGCCCTGCTTCCAGTAAATGACTTTGACCTACAGGAACTGCTCCCCGCTCCGTACCTTGACATGTTCAAAGTAAGCATGCAGAACCATTCCTGAACTACGAGCTGCGCAGCGCAGCACATCCAGAGAGAGAACGTTTGTTGTTCCTTCCCATATACTCAACACCTATAAGAGAAACAATATGTGGGTTTATAGCACCATAAAACCACAGAAGAGTTTTGTTGGCAGTAACAATACCTGTGCATCACGGAGTATTCCAGGCAGCCCAGTATCTTCGATGTATCCCTGTCCACCGAAGCTTTCCAGACCCTCAGACACAACAGCAACAGCCTGAGAGAAACACAGTCGGTCAGATACTCTGCTAACCCCATCAAAGATGACTTTTATGTTGGCAGAAGCAGCGCGCCTGTTTTCCGGTGTACAGTTTAACTACAGGAGTGAGCAAACGAAGGAGGTGCACATCGAGCTGGGTGGCCAGGCCGCTCTCCTCTCGACCCAGCAGACGGCACACTTCCATCACCAGAAGGAAAGCTGCACGTGTCTCCACCTGTCCAAAGCAGGCAGAATTTCAGAGTTTGATTTGTTCATTTGTGTTCTGCCAAGATGTTCACACCCCCTAAACCTGAAGCCACTTTATCAATTTACATCTTTATTTCATCTATTTATTTATTTTTTTTCACATCCAAATCTGAGAAGAGTGGGAAGAAAATTAAACTGTCCTCTTTAACTTTGATGACATGTAACTTCTAACTCTACCCACAGCCAAGAGGACACAGCAAACATATGGAAGAGGGTGCTCATCTTAGATTAGAGTAAAACTGGAACTTTCTAGTCCACAAACTAGAGGCCATGTTTGACAAAAACACACCTATGATGAGACATGGTGGTGGCAGAATCATGCTGTGGGCCTGTTCTTTTCCAGTAAGACAGACAACCCTCACTTCCATGAGCACAAATACTCTCAACATAAGGTTTGAGCTACATTGAATTGGTTTAGAGAGCCATTCCTGCCTTGTAACTTATCAGGTAAATATTTTATATTCCACCATTTATAAAAATCATGATTTGTTCTACATGCTTGTTTAATGATTAAAGAAAGGCAAATTGTTTTTTTTTTTTTTTATGGAAAATGAAAGTTGGCAGAAATTGCCTAAAGCACAGAAAGACAGGCAAAATATTTTTTTATCAAGTGCTCTATATTTAAAGACCTAGCTGAGTTTGTTATCAATTTGGCAGTGTATTAAGAGCTATTGTGAATGTCTCTAGGATCTACAAACCTCTGTTTTAAAGCAAAGCTTAGACCTAAGTACTATAAAATATTATCCCTTATTGAGAACTGTAGATTCACAGACGCAAGTCAATCTGAATCTGAAAAAATATTCTAGACGTACAAATCTGTCAGAGACAAACATTAAATGCATTTCTTTAGTAAATGCAGTGAGGATAGTTCTACAGAACATTGGAATAAAAGGAATTAATGCATTTTTAAGCAGAACTTTTCAATTTTTAATTGTTTGTGTCGGGTGTCAAAAAAAGAAATATAATTTTTGTATTCAATTTGGAAACTTATAAAACGAGAGAGGGTTTAAGGGGTGTTAATACTTATGCAAAATACTGTACACTTCTGCTAGCTTACCTCCATTCTTGCAAGGGTCTGCATATGCAGCGGGTGGTCTTTCAGAAGCTTTCCAAAGGCAGTACGGCGGGTAGCATAGTCACGGGCCAACTGGAGCACTCTGACAGCAGAGACATTTTTATTAGCTTACGGGGAAAGGGCTCCACAGAGTCCGAGCAGAGAACAGGGGAAGTATTATGATGGGGGATCCTACCTTCTCATAGCAGCAGCTGCAGAGACACTGTTGTGAATCCTGGTTATTGTCAGCATATTAGCTATGGAAGCCACACCTCTGCCTTCTTCTGAGAGCTGATGATGAAGGGAGAATATCTGGATCAGACAGAGTAAAGCAGCACTACTACCCGAGGCACTGCGTTAGAAATTGAGCATTAAGTTTGATGGAATGGAGCGGAAAACAGGGCACTTAGCCTGAAAATCAAAATTTATGTACAATCCAGATGTTCATGATTTAGTTCCTGCTACTCTCAGTACAAATATTTCAGCTTAACTCAAGATAAAAGTCTACCTTGGGGCCAAACTATAGAAAAATTTAGCATATTTGGAGCTACCTATTTCTTAGATTTCACAATTATCCCTTAAGTGCACATTATCTTCAAACTAGTTTAAAAGATAATGTGGTTAAAAACAAATTACTTAAAAATAAATATATTTTAAAATATGGTCTGAATGAAAAACTGTTTTCAATAAAAGCTACTCTAATCGCTGCAAAACATAAATGTCTACAGCAGCTTTTAGTTAAGTTGATGGAAGATTTTGGATTAATCTCTCTTCACACAGAATATTTCCCCATTGTCTGGCATTGTACCAATGCCTCCTTTATGACAACAATTATTGCAGATATTTGTCTGTCTGTTTGTGAATGACTTTTAGAAGTACTAAAAAAGTGAATCTGCAGCTGCAAACTGCAGAAAATCTCTTTGCACATGATAGATGTTTACCTTTGCATATACTTTACCCACGCATTTGCGCAGTTTGGTTGTTAGAAT